GAGGTACTTTGACTGTTCAAAAGCCCGGCTCGGGCGTTCAACGTTGACATGAGACAGTTGGTGTAGAGCTTGGTCAGAGTAAGGTCCCAGAGGAAGTTTCTATCGAGTAGAGTGGTTTGAGCGGACTACCGAAAGATATGGCTGTGGTACTTGCAGTCCGGTATGCTATTATCAGCGAAGCTATCTTAGCTTCCAAGAATTTCATTGAATAATGCTTTTTACACACTGGTAAGGCCATAAAGAAAGCAACGTCTCCGATAGCACAAATTGAACTATTGGAAGAATCGTTAAAGTCATTCAACGTATGATGATTTGAAATGGTATGCACGTTATCATCCCAGTTTGCACTGTCACTGGCCGTACGGAAGGAACATTCAAACAGGGTCAAGGATGCAAGTGTATGTGCATGGCTTACTTTTGATTATTTTGTCGACCACCGAGTCTGTGATCACAAAGCCAGTCTTACGCTGTGCCTAATCCGAGGTTAGCAGTGAGCATTCACTCATACAGGAATAGGAAACAACCGCGGCACGTACCAAATTCCATACCAACGTCGCCGTAATGAGCAGATCGGCGACGCAAGCTGTGATGAACCACAAGAGCGCCGACCAGTGTAGTTCTGGTTTCTCGGAAAAGAGCTTCAATTTCTCAATCTTCACACCGGTGATGAACCCTCCGACTGAAGGTAAAAGTAAGCTTTTTGCCGTAGGAATCACGAAATCAAAACACTTACCGCAAGATGCTAAAGCCAAAATCATGACAATGCCCGGGATCCAGTATGCCTGGGTGATTCTCCGAATTCTCAAGGCGAAAAAAGTTTGGATCGGAGTAGAAATTAAGACCTAGTTATCAATCCCATTGATGATTATGCGTTCTAGGTTTTTTAATTGCATACCAACTCACTATCAGGATTGGTTCTGGATAGCGAGTCATGAGTTTCTTGATTCTGAGAGTAAGGATGTTCATGATTGATCAGACTCACCCATCAAGAATACTAATAAAAGGGCGACGTCGATTCCGGTCATTCAAGAGATCTGAGGCATGGGTATGTATGTCTACGCACGAGTGGGAAAATACATGACTGCTTGTTGTGTTCCTGTGAAGAACAATTGAGTTGCGGGAGAAAGAAAAAAAATGAGTAGCGCTGCACCATACTCCGCAATCAAAGGCTGGTACATCATAGCCATGTCAATGGCTGTATTTGCAGTCTCTAACACAAGAAGATATGCGACCTAAATGAATAGGATCGACATGCGGGAGTGATTTTCATTAAAACCTGGATGCTCACAAAAAGGCGAACCCAGATCGAATCTCTGTATGAGCATAGCAATGAGCATCAGGCGGGTAGAGATGAGAAGATCCTCTCACGATGTGTATGTCCTGAAGTAGAAGAGCATCTGTATGATACGAAGAGATGAGAGAGCTATACTAAGCCGCAGAAAACTGAGTTGCCTGCCTGGTTAAGCAAAACCTGTAGAGTTCCTGTTAGAAAGAGAGAGAGCGACAGTAACTCGCACGTAAACTCACCCCGTACAGAATCATATTGAGGAACACGCCAATAAGCATCGGGCCATACCTAGCGAGAAACATGTGAATAAGCTTGTTCCCGGTAGTAGATTGTGAAAGGTGGACGAACTGGAGCTGAACATGGAATTCCGAGTCCACCATCTCCAGAACCTCGTTGCAGCCTTCGACGATGCCAAAGTAGATGAGTAAAAAAAGTCTACCCCGGCCTCGTAAGTCCTTTATAAGACTGTCCGACAGCCTCGTGCTAAAAATTGGCGAATGATAATGAGACTTCCCATGACCTGCGAATTGAATATGGACTGTTGATCTGTGATTAACACATGAATCGTAGCCGACTAAGATATGCCAGCAAATGTCCATCGGCCTTCAAAAAGGTTGAAGACAATGTCAGCGGTTGTCGGGGCGGGTAGAAGACAGGAGTAGTAGAGATCATTCATGAAAGCCAAGTTGAAACGAGCTTTCATCGTCAGATACGTCTATAAGGTTTTTATCAGTCGCATTGTTGAGATAGCAATCTACTAAGAATGGCATTGACCACAACGAGTCGCGTGCAGTTTCCGGTACGCAGACTATGGCGATCGTTCAAATTTAAAGCAATGTTTATATACAGTCCTCTGTGGTGACGCGTAAGAATTTTAGGATCAATCCTATTTTTTTTTCACCAGTGTCCACCTGCAAACCACTGTTAGCTCTGTTGTACGTTTGACTCACACTCACAGTCAAGGCCCTGTCAACGGGAGCTCGCTGACGTTAGCGCTGGGTTGTGTAAGCGATATTACGTACGAGGCCTTTCTCCAGGGCCCTTTCATCTGCACCTCCAAGATAAATTCTACGCTGCTATATCTTATTCAACACTATTCTATTATCTGTCATCTAGGTTACATACCGGCTATCACAGGCTATTATACGTTGAACAATCATTCTTTATCTCGTGCCTGTGTATGTCTGTGTATTTTACCTGTGAGTGGAACGCGCAAGTTCTGTGTTTTCTGTCTATTGAAACGTGGACTGTGGCCGATCTTTCTTAGCCATATTCTTTAGAGAGCTTAAAAGCTGCCCCGGAGAAAGCAAGGAACCGTCATTCTGCCTTAATGTTCTATCTCAAAGCTGCAGGGACCATCAGTCTACGTTGTATCGGAAACGAGCATTTGAATTTTTCCCATATAGTAGATAATGGGGCCAGGTGGGATGAGGGGTCCGCGGTCTGTTTGAAGGCACCAGAGAACTCAACGTGCGAGAAGGTACCATCATCATTATTTTCCTCCCAAACGCCTCATAAATATTGTCACTATCCTCTTCTCAAAAAATTCAAGCAACTCAACAATCATCTCACCACAATTCGCCATAAGATCGCGTCCACGCCTATCCACGCTACCAATCATGTTTGATTTCGCAGTCAGCACACATGCAACTCAGATTGTCATTCAAATATCCAAGCTTCTAGTATACAAACGCTCCCGAGGCTCATCATTTACTATATCAAAGACAGTATAAGTGCGGATCACCAACAATCCAACAGTGATTAGGAGCACACTAGCTTTTTCTCGGTCTCCCTCTCTTAAAAATTGCTAGTACTTGAACGATATCTCGTCCGAAAGCTCAGTCTAGGTTCACCATGGTTTCCACCACCCCAGAACCTAGCACTCCTGAGAAGGACACACATTCGGACTTTCAACACTCCAAGCTCGAAAAGGGATCGAGCACCTCTCTCGAAGGCTTTGATGTTGTCGAAGACCGCGCAATAGAAGCCAGGGTTTGGCGAAAACTCGATTCGCGTGTTCTTCCAGTGGTAGCCATGTTTTATCTTTTGTCGTTCTTGGTATAGCCATCTATCGCTTTATGTGCTTTTTCCCTGCTCTCTTCTCAATGCCTAATTTGCAGGATCGAACAAATGTAGCGAATGCCCGTGTGGCAGGATTGCAGACCGACCTCAAAATGACAAACAAGGAGTATAGTATTGCGTTGACGGTTACCTATGTGCCGTATATCGTCGCCGAGCTTCCTTCCAACCTCATGCTCAAGGTATGCAATATTCTGTGGACCAACATTATATCTGTATGCTCATCTGACTCGAGGCTGTGGGACCCAATCTCATGCTACCAACAATGTTAACACTGTGGGGAGTCGTCACCACGCTGCAAGGCGTCGTCAAAACCTACTCAGGTCTTCTCGCATGTCGTTTCTTCCTGGGTCTCCTCGAGGGTGGTGTGTTCCCCGGACTAGTTCTCTACCTCTCCTACTTTTATCCACGGTACAAGATGAATATGCGGTGAGAATTATTGTTTTACCTCCCAGCTTTACTTTGTTCCGATCCATTATATGCAGCGTAACAGCCTTCTTCTCCTCTGCCTCCCTCTCCGGCGCCTTTTCCGGAATTCTCGCATATGGAATCATTCACATGGACGGGGTCGGCAACCGACCTGGCTGGTCGTGGATATTTATTCTCGAAGGCTTATTCACATTCCTCTTTGGATTATCATCTTACTTTACTCTCCCTCGATCCGTCGACAAGACGTGGTTCTTCACTCACGAAGAAAAAGATTACGTTAATGCTAAGTTATTAGCCGATAATGCCCAGAAAGACGAAGGTGGATTTAGTTGGAAGGAAGTTTATGAGGCGTTGAAGCTTCCGCAACTTTGGTTCTGCAATATCGCATTTTTCTGTTCGGGGACAATCCTGTATGGCTTGGCCTAGTACGTCCTTACCTTTCGATTCTGAAGAGTGCTAGCTTATGCTTTCCCACTTCATCGTAGCTTTGCTCCGTCGATCATACAGGGTCTTGGTTACACAGCGGCTAATGCACAGCTGATGTCCGTTCCACCTTTCGCCGTTGCATGTGTGGTCTCCGTAGCCGCATCTTTCATCTCTGATCGCTACCAATGTCGTGGAATCGTTTCTATCATTTCGGTCATCTTCTGTGCTATAGGCTTTGCGATGTTCTTAGGTTTGCCATTGTCCATAGCTCTACAACGAAACACGTATGCTGAACCATTTTTTATTCTCAAGGATCTAAATCAACCCACGTCCAATACGGCTCTCTCTTCTTCTCCGTTACTGGTGCCTACACCGCCGCACCCACCGGTTCAGCATGGAACGCTAACAATGCCTCCCCTCAAACTCGACGCGCAACCGTCATCGCATTTGGCTTTGTCATGACCAATTCTGGTGGAATTCTCGCTACGTGGCTCTTAGGCTCTCTGAGTCCTGCACCGAGATACACCAAGGCAACGATAACGCTTTTGGCGTTAAGTATTGTATCAATGGTGTTTTGCGCGGCGAATTTGTGGTATTTGCGGTGGCAGAATGGAAAGAAGGCAGAGATGAGAAAAATAGTGAGTAGGGAGGAGGAGAAGCAGGGGTTGGGGAATCATAGCGCTTGGTATATCTATAATTTGTGAATATCTATAATTTGTGAATTTCATTTGCCGTCTGGCACAAAACAGAATATAAATTGGTCTGCATATATCAGCGTGGTTCGATGGCGTAGTTGGTTATCGCATCTGTCTAACATTTGAAGTATACACAGAAGGTCCCCGGTTCGAGCCCGGGTCGAATCATTGATTTCTTTTTCTCCCATTGAAACCGGACCTGGCTTCCCTTGGCTTCACCGCTAGCCTCTATCTAGTTCACCGTCGTCTCTAAAGCCCTCTGTTGTTTCTGATTTTAATAGTTGCATTTTTCTCGAAGTGCATAAGGATAGACCAGGGGCATCACCGTGTATTTCGCTTGAACATTCGCTGAAGATTGGGCAACTAACATTTCTAATCTCTCTCATTCCCCGCTCTTGAGATACAATTCAGTTCGTCTTGTATAGCTCGCATGCAGCCCGTGGATTCCAGGAGGACCTCATTTGGTGCGCAGGGTGGCAATCGAATTCTAGATTTGACATTTAAAAGCCATTTGACCCTTCAACTCTTGCTAGTTTGGAGATGTGGGGAGGTCTACTGTCAAACTTGATGTGCGAATAAAAGGACATCTGAAAAGGATATATGTCGGATGACAAGAAAATTTGAAATTATCGCTTGCGCCGCCGATTCAGTATTGGTTCGGTCAATCTGTGGATCTCGAACCCGCTATTATTCTTACGTTGCTCTACCATGTAAGACAAATATAAGTATATATTCTCAGAACACACCGAACGGGTGTAAGAACTCGTATATTGAATATGAATACCTGTAAGACAAATATAAGTATATATCTAAACGAATATTCACTATACCCTACAGGTTAGATATAAGTACAAGACTCACTCACAGAACACACCGAACGGGTGTAAGAACTGAGAGTGAGGAATAAAATAAGTATCGTATTTAACCAAGTTCTTTAGGAACTGATCGAGTAGTCGCAGTCCATCTGTAAGTATATGATCAACCCGCGAGGCATAATGGTCCAACGGGCTGACAGAAAGGAGAGATCGATAGACATAAGGGTCCCGAAACAAAACCGGGAAACGCCAGTAGCCGTAGGAGTAATGAGGACGATGTAAGAGCCTCTACTATGATGTTCTACCGATTACATACCAATCTCTTGAAGTTCCATCAACAGAAACATTGACAGTGCTTTCAAAGACTATGTTCTCCCGTTTTCTCGATTGACAGTCGATTTCGACCTGGTCACACATAATACATCCTGCCGTCCGACCTGATGGTGGTATATATACATATAATTTGTGGATATATACAGGCGGTAACACCAAAATCTTCAAAGTTATGTCCGCGTGACCAGGCAATATCAGGGGCAATGTATTATATATAGATCAGATATTGAGGGAACAGCGTCGAGGAATTATTCTGGGGATGGCACCTCATTGCTTATCACTTGTCGTTATCAGTGTCCTTTAAAACAGGTGGAAATATCACCTTTCAACTTTTCAGTGAATGTATTGTAAATACTCAGACCGTGAGTTCTGTGGCTTCCCTTACCTAAATAACTTGATTACAGATTCTATAGATAAAGGAACTGTTATAGCACCCTCGAAAGTAAATTTTGATTCTACAATGCTCAATGAGGGGCGTGGCGTGAGTACACATCCCTCAGACTCAGTGGGCATTGAATCTCTGTATAGTTCAAGTGGCAGCGCCAAATTACCCATATATTCGACTAACCCTTGCGGAGCATCGAAGGTGCCGCTGCATGCCTTGAGTACTTGGACAAATGCGGATTGGGCGTACTTCTTGTACTTGGTATCTTTGGATATGTATTGAAAATCAGAACGTGAGCTTTTTTCTATCGTTTTCAAGTCACTGGCTTGTTTGACCGCTTGATTGTCCTCCCAGAAGCACACTAAAAGCGCACCTTCTATTATCGAGCTATCGAGCTCGAGGCCAGTTCTTGTTCAGCAGTCTTTCTCTGTGATATGATGCTTTCAACTGATTCCAGTCCTCCTGTAAATGAAGACACTCTGGAGAAGATTGTTATCTCTTCTCTTGAGAACCCCAGTGGACTTGATGCTCATGAAGATCCTGCGATGGTTAAAAGGGCTTGGCAAAAACTCGACCGTCATGTTCTACCATTGGCGGCGATGTTCTTCTTCTTGTCGTTTTTGGTACGTACCATGACATTCTTCTACCCATTGACTTTGACCGCTGTATCACAGGATCGAACAAATGTAGGAAATGCTCGCGTAGCGGGCCTACAAACCGACCTTGGAATGTCGAATCACCAATATAGTATCGCATTAACGGTTACTTATGTGCCATATGTCATGTTTGAGCTGCCGTCAAATCTCATGCTCAAAGTACGGTTCATAGATGTATCTTAGAACCATCTTCTTAATCCTGTGTAGGCTGTCGGACCTAATCTCTTGCTTCCAACAATACTGACCCTTTGGGGCATTGTATGCGCCCTGCAGGGAGTCGTCAACTCTTATGCTGGCTTGCTGGTATGTCGATTCTTCTTAGGTTTCTTCGAGGCGGGCATCATCCCAGGACTTGTGCTTTATCTTTCGTACTTCTATCCTCGATACAAGATGAATATACGGTAAATTTTTACTGTCTTGGACTGGAAAGTGTTCTACTAATTGTTACATTCTATTCACAGTGTTGCTACCATTTTCTCAGCTTCCTCTCTCTCTGGAGCATTCTCAGGAATCCTGGCGTATGGAATTATTCAAATGGATGGTGTCGGAAATCGACCTGGATGGTCTTGGATATTTATCCTGGAAGGTCTATTCACCTTTTTATTCGGTTTCTCATCATATTTCATCTGTCCACGCTCCGTTGATGAAGTTTGGTTTTTGAGTACTGAAGAAAAGAAGTACGTAAAGGGCAGGCTGCTGGAGGAACACGCCCACAAGGATGAGGAAGGTTTCAGTTGGAAGGAAGTTATTGAAGCATTGAAACTCCCTCACCTTTGGTTCATGTGCATTGTGATGTTCTGCTCTGCCACGATCCTGTTCGGTTTCGCCTAGTCAGTAATTTCGGATAGTTGTGCGGTCCACCGTTTGCTTACTTACGGAATAGCTTTTCTCCGTCAATTATTCTAGGGCTCGGATACACTGCAGCAGATGCACAGTTGATGAGCGTGCCGCCGTACGCTGTCGGCTGTATCATGACTTTGACTGCTTCTTTCATATCCGACCGTTATCGATGCAGGGGAATTATCTGTATTATCGCTACTCTTTTCTGCGGCATTGGTTTTGCGATTTTCCTTGGTACATATCCAAGTTAACTCGAGAGTTTACAGGCTAATGTTCTTCTTTTTGCAGGATCTAAATCGACAGCAGCACAGTACGGCTCTCTCTTTTTCTCTATCTCCGGTGCAGGCATGGGAGGACCAACGCAGGCTACTTGGGTTTCGAACAATGCTTCGCCTCAGACACGGCGAGCAACGATGATCGCCATGGCTTTTACGTTATCGAACTCTGGGGGTATTCTCGCCACTTGGCTGCTTGGTTCGTTGAGTCCTGCACCGAGATACACAGAAGCGACGATCACGCTTTTAGTCCTCAGTCTGATCGCAGCTCTGATCTGCGGGCTCAATATGATATATCTACAGACACAGAATATCAAGAAGGCCGAGCAAAGGAAGACGATGATCAGGGAAGATGAAGAGCCTGGGCTCGGAAATCGTAGTGCTTGGTACATATACAGCTTGTAAAAAAGGTTTTACCTACTTCATATAGACACGGCGGATGTCCCGTATCAATTCCTTCTTACACTATACCTGTTGCCTGGGATTCGCTCTCAACGCTGGTTGGTGGATATTTGCAGGTCATAAGTCCTCGAAGACTCCAACTTTTTTTTTGCAATTATCCACATCGAACTGTTCAGCCATTCATTACGATTCGTGGTGAGGAGAGTCCAGAGAAAGACGGGGAGACTTTCACAAGACCTCCAAAACTTGAAAAACGTCGAGTCGAAATACCAGTATCCATCACATTCCCCACTAATAACCGCTCTGCGATCATGCTGGTTGTGAGTCGAACCCCAACCCATCACAACTATGAGACTACGGTCTACTGCAATCAGCATAGCATGTTCAGAGGGTGATCTTGATGTTCTTGAACCATCTTATATCTTCCTTATCCGGAGACGCCGCAGAGTTGCGTTTCGTGGAGTCAAAAGTTGGTTTTCATGGCCTGCCCCCAGAGAACGCTCTTGCACATATTAGCTTCAGAGCAACAACCGATCACTATGGTACTCACGCTCATGAGCCATTCGGCTCCTTTGGAGCACTATAGTATCAAAGATATCAATGGAAAGGTGACTATGCAGGGAAATTGTGGTGATACTTCTGAAATTCATTCTAAATGCTTACCAGCAATCCTTGTGTAGCCAGAGAAAATTTGTGAGCGCAGCGGCGTTAGATCATCACGTACTGCGGAAGTTTGTGTACTACGGAGAGATGAGGAGGAAGAGAAAGGGAGCGGGAGGTACAGCCGCAGAAGAGAGGATAATTGACCAGCCAAGAGGCCAGAATGTGGTAAAAAGAAGGGGAGAGGGGGTGCCTGCATGACTGTCATCTATGATGCAGCACCCACAAGCAGCTACCTTTCAATCCCATATCTTGCCAATGAAGATCTCAAACGTAAAACGTTTCTTATGAAACATGGATATTTGAAATGTGAATAGTGAAAGGAAACAACAAAGCAATATATATGAGTCTGCTACAATATAAACAGGGTATCCTCGACGTGTCCATAGGATCATATCACGACTGAGAAGGAATTGGCCTAAACAAAAATCAATAGCCGTATCCAAATACAATGCCGAACAGATCCTTCCACCCTCGTTTAACCACTAACGTCGTACCCCCGCCATATTCTAAAACAAGCCATTCTAGATATTTCTCGTCAACTGAGCTAAACGGTCCAAGTTCCAATGCCAGAATGTCCTTCGGTACGAGGGAAATCGTTTTATTTGATCTCTCGTTCGGAGGTGGAAGCAACGATTCCAACGTTGATAGTCGGAATAATGTATGGGCATGGAAAGTCTGAAGGAGCGCTAGCGTCGTTCGTAGCTGCATGTCGTCATGTACAGAGTCTTCTAACGTCGAAAATTCGGCATGGTCAACATCTGCATCAGTTGACGAGCTTTGAGGGGTATATTTACTCCCC